TCAGAGGTGGCCTCACCAGGGCAGAGTAGAGGGGAGGAGAACCTCCCTCACCCTGCTGGCCACCACCTTCTAAATGCACCCAAGGAGGCCACTGGCCTTGGCCACGAGGGCCCATTGCTGGTCCGTGGGGTTATTCCTCCCTAAGGGCAAGACCCTGCCCTCACCCTGGTTGAACTTCAGGGGTTTCCTCTGCAGCCCTGGTGTGTCAGCCACCCCTCCCAGTTCTGCACCAGCACCAAACTGGTCTGCTCCACGGCAGGGTTTGCTGGGCTGGAGCCTGGGAGTGGGTGTCGGAAGGATGTCGGGGGCTTAAGCAGGAATTCCAGGCAGAGCCTGAGGATTTGAGGCCCTCCCTGTGCCCCGTGGCAGGTGGGGAGCTGGGAATAGGGTCTAAAATAAACCAGGGAGGGGTGAGGCTCTTCCAGGCTGGACTCTGCAACTAAGGAAACAACATTCACTCCAGGGGCCCTTTTCATCCCCAAATCTGCTCGCCGGGGCGAGGTCCCGTCTGGAGCGGGACAGATCCTGAACCCTGCGGGGTGGAATCTGGCTTCTGGGAAAGGTCCTGAGCTCAGGCCTGGCTCTCATCTCCTCCACAGGGCATTCGAGGACGAGAAGAAGGCCAGGATGGGGGTGGTGGAATGCGCCAAACACGAGCTGCTCCAGCCCTTCAACGTCCTCTACGAGAAGGAAGGTGAGCGCCGGCGGCGGGAGGATGGAGCTGGGTGCAGGTGGGTGCTGAGCAAACAGCTCCCAGGGGCTGACTCCCCCCAGAGATGTACTTCAAGGGATTTGTCCTCCAGGAAACTCGTTATCCCCTTGGCTCCTGGAGCTCGTTTTGGAGTCGTTCCAGTGATAAGATGAATTTTTGTGGAGTGATTTCCTGAGCCAGGAGGAGAGTTGGATGGCTGAGGCTCTCCCAGAGCAGGTCTGGGTGCTGCAGGGACTGTTTTGTCCTGGCCAGGGTGGGCCTAAGAATAGAATCATAGAACTTTTCTGGTTGAAATAGACCTTTAAGATCACCAAGACCAACTGTGCCCCCAGCACAGCCAGGACCCCCCAACCCATGTCCCTCACCCCACATCTCCACGGCTTGGGGACCCCTCCAGGGGTGGGGACTCCACCACTGCCCTGGCACAGACCTAGGCAAACCTCCAGGGGCAGAAATGGTTACTCCACGGCAA